ATATATATATATATATATATATATATATATATATATATATATATATATATATATATATATATCCATCAGAAGGTCTAAAAGTAAAGACTTTCAAAGTCAAGTTTTGGCAAGACTAAAGAGCAAGTGAGCCTCTCATATATTACCGGTGGGAATACAAAACAGTGCAGCAACTTGGGAATTGGGTTTTGGCAGTTCATTATAAAGTTACAGATTCACTTACCATATGAGCCAACAATTCCAAACCTAAGGAGTTACCCAGGAGGTGTACAAACCTATGAAGACTTCTATTCAAATATTCATAGCAGTTGTCTTAGTAATAATAGCTAAAATGTGAATACAACTCAAATTTTCATCAACTGGTAAATGAATAAAAATATTATGGTATATCCATGCAAAGGGATACTGCTCAGCAACAAAAACTAAGGAACTACTGAGATGTGCAACCACATGGATGACTCTCAAAGGTGTGATACTAAGTGTCCAAAGCCAGATACAAACATTACATACTTCGTGATTCCATTTCTATGGAATTCTAAAGAGGGTGGAACCATAGTGATGTAAAGAAGATCAGTAAATTTCAGGACCCGGGGGGATGGTGGGGAAGATGAGTCATTTTGTAAAAGGGGCAGAATGAGACATTGTGGAATGACGGAAACGATCTCTATATCATAGTTGTGGTAGTGGTTACACGTCTGTATACTTTTAAAACTCACCCAATTGTACACTCAAAATTGTGCTGTCTCTCTCTCTCTCTCTCTCTCTCTCTCTCTCTCTCTCTCTCTCTCTCTCTCTCTCTCATATATATATATATATGAGAGAGAGAGAGTTAAAACAAAATAATGTCTACTCTATAATGTCTGCTCTATGAGCTATGAGATGTTTGGGGCAAAAAATGGATTATTCATGTGAAATTGAAAGTCTCCTTTTAACCTGGGCTTACATGGTTAGGAAAGGCATAGCTGAGATCCAAAGAGACCCAGGTCTCTGATGCCTGTTTCAAACCAATTTCTTCTTTCTCATGTGGAAAGGAATGTGATTCAGGTAAGTGTTCTCCGCTGAGAGAGCCTGTTTTTCAGGAGAAAGAAATCGATGTCCAATGCAAGCAACACAAGTGCTTCAAACATTTGTTGATCTGAAGTTACTTGGCCAAATATGAATTTTCATTTTCATTGAAGATTTGATGTTTGACATTAGCATTACCAATAAATCTGATGGACTAAATCATGTGGAAGAAATCACACAATATTGATTGTCATACCAAGGCTGAGATGGAAATTGCCTATACTGAGATCAGAAACACTGTTCTAAAGCCATGGACTTTACAGGGAATGGCATGAGCATAGGGGGAATATTACTATTAAATTTGCAGATAATTTCCCTTTGGGATTAGAAGACTGCTCTCCAGATTTGTATTTTCAGTAGACTGCATGAGATTAACTGGGATTTTCCCCCCAAAAAAGTAAATAAAGCAAAGTAAGATAAGATGTGATAAAATGTCTCAGGACTTCACTACACAGAACACCCCTTGAAACTTAAAGCCTTTGTATCTTATTCCAGACCCCTTATCTCTTGAGTTAAATCTTATTAGCAATTCCAAAAGATAAATCAGTTAACTTCTTGGGGAGAAAAAAAAAAGGCAGATGTCAAAGTTTCTCATTTGTTACTGATGAATATCATCTACATTCCAAGCAGCCTCCCCCATCAAGCACCAGTTTATCAAAAACAAACCTAAAAGGATGTACTGGGACATGATTTCTCCTCATCGCTGGTTTCAGAGGTGGCTCCATCACGGTTGCCTGAAAGACAGTTGCCTCGCAGTTACAAATGATTCCAGTTCAGTGAACCCCAGAGGAGCTGTATTAGTGGCTATGCACTGATGTAGAACAAGGGGTAAGAATGTGAACAGCAGCACAGGACCTATTTTTCATCGCTGCATAATGTTTTGCTCCACTGATCTATCACAAAACAGCAGCTGCTGGGCTAGAGGCGGAGTGCTCCCCAGGAGTGACAAACACCTCTGTGAGTCACTGTGATTCTGGGCTGGCCTCAGGGCCCTGAATAAAGTCACGACTGCGACTGCGGAAGGAGGACAGGTGAGTTAATGCTACCTTGAATCTTCTGAAAAGGAATGACTGATGCTTCACACGTTGTAGCATGACATTCTGTAACCGACCCACAACGTCCCAATGTGCATTCGTATCACTACAGGTGTGTCTCACGTCTCTGGTAGGGAAGCCACTTGCGAGGACAGCATTTTTTAACCTCCCTCATCTTTGTCCACAACCGTGGTATTGAGGGTTTCCTTGTTTGTAAGCCATCCAGCGTGAGGACCCCTCCTCCTCCTTTCCCGTCATGCTTTTATACCTCCCTCGCCCTGTTTCTCCTCTCTGCCCCTCCTCTGACCCTATAGTACCATCAAATACTTGCTTACAAGGTAGATTTTGCTTCATCTGTAACTTACCCTAATTAAGAATCTGTTTCCATTTCCAGATGTTGGAGACTGACCTTCACATCAGTCTTCTGTGTGTAATTATTGCAAACAGCTAGAATGTCTAAAAAAAAAAAAAAAGTTTTTCAAAGCAAATTAATTAAGAATCATAGGGAAAATGATAATTTTTTTTCCCCAAAGAGTCAATAACATACATTTTTGTTGAGAGAAGAAATGTGAGGAAAAAACAAAACATAAAATAAAATCTTGATTGCAGTGTGTACTGCCATTATTTAAAATGAACATTCGTATCATAATTTTCAGTTTTAATTACACGTTAGGGTAGATTACTAATTCTAAGAAAAAAGATACGTGTTATTTAACACTTCTTACGACACTGCTTTAAAAATACTTTGAGTGAGAAGACATGTTGTCAATTCAGTTATAGAAAAAATAATAATAGTTTAAAATAATTGAAAAGTGAATTGCCTAATAGCTTACTTTTCCAGGCTGATAGAATTATTTAGCATTACATTTAATTACAAGGGATTGTTATGACAGAGAAAATATATCTTATCTCTGTCTTTTCTTCTCTTGCTCATAATGCTGAAATCTATGACTTTTGCAATGTGATCAAATTTAGAAGTTGTGTAACTATAATTAGGTCCACCTATTCTTGTCAATAAATGGAGTAATCTCACATTGTACAGAACTCTCTTGTTAGAAAGACTCACTTGCTTTATATATTTAAAGCTATGATCCTTTCACCAATCCATCCATCCATTCTTCATTTGTTTAGACAACCAAAAAACCATGACACGATTAGGACATGCCAGGAACAGTATCAGGCACCAGAGACAACAAAATAGAAAGTCAGGGTCCATGCATGATTCAGGATTAGGCTTTGAGGGGAGGACAGACTTGCAAATAGTAAAGTCACTGCTCACCAAGTAGTTGGTTAAAACAGACAATAATGCACAAAAGGAGCATGAAAGAAGGACCATGATCTTTTTGAAGGTATCAAGCAGACCAAAGTGGAAGTAGAATTTGAATTGAGTTTTGCAGGATAAGTAAGGGTTTTCTAATTGGCCAAGAAGGGAAATGTGATTGTAGGTGCAGGGAATAATATTGACAAGTGTGGAGGCGGGGAGTGGATCTTAGCAGGCTGAGTTATGTAGGAAGGTATTCACTATTTCCAGGTATAGCATGTGAGATGAGATCTGGAAGGAGTGGAATTTGGAGGCGGGGGGGTGTGGGGGGGTGCTGGATAAATAGCTAGAAAGGAGAGCGTGAAGAACTTTTCAGGCCTGATTTTGAGGTTTAAATATTATCTTTCAATTGGGAACCACTGAAGAATTTGGGACAAAGAGGGAACATCATCGTTCTTTAAATACAGGAAACCTGCTACTGAAATATTTCTATAATAAACTTTAAAAATTCCTTGAATTAGAAATTATCTATCTATTATCTATCAATTCAGGAGTTATAATGATATTCATGTGGAATATATTATTTTCTTAGATGATTTTGATACTCTCAGCTGATTTAGATGAGCAATAATGAAGAGTAAATTGTCATGAACTCTTCATATGAATGAAACATTTTATTCTGATAAGTGCATTAGTCTGAAATGTGCTAACAACATTTTGAAAAAAATATTAAGATAAAATTAGCTCCTAGTGCCCCGAACACTCACCTCTATGTCCCCACTTATTTTTGATCTTTCTCTTTCTGCAGCCCCAGATACTTTCTGTCCTTCTGTCATTCTGACTTCCATCTGTTACTCTGCAACATTCCAAAGTAGCATTTCCTGATGGTAAAAGTAGATTTTGAGTGATACAGATATATGTAAAAGGAATGGATTAGGCTAGACAACAAGATTTTCTACAATTAGGGAAATGGTGCATATAAAAATGCTTTGTGGTTTCCAGATAAATGAGATAATACATGCATAAAACACCTAGCGCAGCCTTTGTAAATGAGCTAATGTATGTGAAAGCAGCTCACACTTTTCTCAGCAGATAACACATGGGGATGGTGATTCACACCTCTGAGTCTAGGAGAGATAACTGCCAGTAAGAAGACAAAGAAGAAAGCACCATATTGGAAAGCGCATCCCATCTGGTATTGCATATATATATGTTCTGTTGTGACTTCATTTTTCTTTATCTTGAACAGTAAGATTTTCAAAAGCCCCAGTATTGGAAATTGTGATCCAAGGAAAGGAAACAGGATGATTTCAAGACTAGCTAACATGTTTATTCGCATGGGTATGCAAAACGCAGACCCTAAGGTGGTAACCTCGTAAAGGCAGCTATGCAATTGGCAGCTGTGCCAGTTTCCAGATATCACACTGAGCATGCAGCCCTTTCCCAAGGTATCACCGGGATGTGCCAACAAGACCTTCCCAGATGCAGGTCTTAGATTCCTTTGCAGCAGGAATCCAGGAATGGCTGGACAAGGAGTCAGATTCAATCGCCCATTTCTGCACGCGCATGCGCGCGCGCGCACACACACACACACACACACACACACGCACGCACGCACGCACGCACGCACACACGCACGCACAAAGACTGTAGTCTTACTGAACTCTAAAAGAGCTACCAAAATCTCAGTTACCAAAGTGGTAGATAAGAGAACTTCAGTTTAGGGTATGGGCCCAGGATCTATAGACATTACAGATAATAATAATACAGGGGATAGAGAAAGAAAGGAAAGAGATGCTATGACTTGGGGGTTACGCAAGCAGGACTCCCCCTCCCTAGGGGGCAATGCCTCCCCCTTCGGGCAATGACCACATGGCACCGGGACCTTTGTTTCCAGTTCTTCCATGTGGTGAGGGAAAGACTACTGCTGAATATCCTATTCTGATCCAATTTGACACAAAACCGGCTTTCCTGTGTCTATCTATCCCAGAAGGTATGTTCACTAGTGGGCCCAATTATGGATTTAGGATGGGAAAAGACAGGGAAACAAGATAAGGATGAAAAACTGTGAAAGAATAAATATAAAGGGAATTTCAGGCACAACTGGTATTTTTCTTTAGAGTTATTCAGATTCACAAAGCCTCGTTCGTTCTGATATTTTAAATGGCTTGATCATCTACTTCAGTAAAGAAAACAACTTGGAAAGTTTGGTTAAAGCAAGAATTGAATTGAATTACATCAAGAAGGTAGATTCTGTGTAGGTGAAGTCTGCCTCATAGAAGGCACCCATCCTCAGTCATATAGCATCACCTCTGTCACCAAACACTAGCCTGTCAGTCCTACTACCATCTCACAGTGTGGCCATGTCGCAAGGCTTCCGGGCTCTAATCCTAAGAGATCATTCATTTCTGGATTATCTTGAGTTCATTTATTTCTTTAGAGTGAATTTCACACAGCGGCTAGTTAATTAATGAGTCTGAAGACCCGGGTGGGAAGCAGTTGGCCTCACCACTTTCCCTGTTTAATAGAAAATGCATTTAGAACACTCACTGGGCTTGATTAGTCTCCCCAGTTACAAAATCCTGTTTCAAACCACATGCGGTGAGGTTTAAATAATTTTTTCCTGCCATTGGGGTTTTGATATTCTTAATGACTAATTGTTTTCTGAAAGAGAAAAGAAAATGTAATGTTTTCCAGCAGGAAGTACGGTTTAGGTGACAATTGCAAATCTAATTTGAAAACCTTATGTAAAAATAAGTTTTCCCTTAAATTCATTTGGATAATAATGTGGTACGGGCTTTGTGTGTGAATGAAATGCTGTAGAAAGCTATAAAGATGTACCTCCCATGGTCTTTGCCCTCAAACACAGCACCACTTCACTGGGAGGTATGCCCAAGGAACATGTATTTAGGCATATTGCAAAATTGTGTATATTCAATTCTTATTAAATAGAGATGCATTTTTGGGTGAGAGTGGTAGGTTAGAACTGTGCCTGGAGGTGTCCTTGGAAAACTCAGTGGACACAGGCCACACTTCTTTTATGAGAGAAAAAAAAAATTGTAGAAAGATAGATAAGCACCCCTCTTTTTGTTCACAGGATGAGGATTACACTTGAAAAAATAAATGTAGATATTATTCCAATTTTAAGCCGTAACCTCTGGATTCTCAAAAGTGGGGAGAGGAAAGTGAGCGTTTTAACAAAATAGAGTACTGTTGCCAAGGGGATGGGGGAGAATGCTGAGTATTCAGAAAAGCAGATGTCTATTGCAACAGTTTTCATGCTTGGCCATCCTTATTTATCACAATAGGACGTTGGTATACTGTGACACCCAAACCATGTGACCCCTCTCTTATGAGTTGCTCCTTTAGCAAACTATAGGAAGCTGTCCAGAGATTTGTGTCTACTGATTTCCCTGGCTCAGACCCTTTATAATAAGGCTCATCTGTGGAATAAGACCTAAGTAGATTAGTAGAATCTCGGCCAAAGAGTGGTAAAAGGAGACATGCAGAGCCCACTCTGGAAACCTTACTGTTAAGTCTGCGGGAACAAGTCCAAATGTAGACTTCGGGTCAAAGTAGGTGAGGGTAAACCAGAATAGAGCGAGTTCAAACCAGAGGCATTATGTTCGATTTCATAAACACAGTGTTGGGGAATAACCAGGAAAATAACAATTGGAAGGCAAACAGATGTTCAAGGACCCCTCGTCGCACCAGACACTACCTCTCAATATCAAACCTGATTTCAGAGCCAAACCTGCTGGTACACAGCCTTACCTGTCGACACTGTATTAGAAAAGGATGAATTTTAGGTGGTTATGGGAACTTCGCCTTGGAGTTATTGCAAAATAAAGCTCTTTAACATAGGTGTCTTAAATACCAGAGGGCGATAAGAGCTTAAGGTTACATCACAAGGAAAAAGAGAACAGACACTAAAAGCTAAGTAAGAGGTACAAAAGGCATGATAGTCACTTATACTCCCTAGGAATTTTATTAACTGGAGCCTGTGATCTGTGAGCTATCTCTAAGACATTCACTATATTTTGCCTAGATACACAGAAAGACGCATGCTCCTCATTTAGATTACACAGACTAACTTGTGCCATTCAAAAGAACCAAGAAAAAAATAGCCAAAGAAATACAATGTAAAAAACTTTTAGGATAATAAGACTCTAAGTTAATCAGGGATTTGAATACCTTGCCCTTACTTCTTTAGCAACAATACAGCCTTGCAGGGCACAAATAAATCAGTAGCAATAGTCTAATATGAAAATAAATAATTCCTTTATTCACAAACGCTGTTTTAATAATTGTATGGATTGCCACGAAGGTACAAAAATGACTCCTCATGACGATAAGAATGGATGTCTGACTGCCTAAATTCCAAATAATCTCAGCCACCCCAAATATCACCTCCACCCAGGATTCGAATCTTTCCTGATCCAGGCCGGAGAATCAGTAGGTTGGGTCTTTGTCTTAACTGGGAATGAAAATGTTCCCGGTGTGTTTGCAAAACAAGCCACTACCTATCCTCCACCATCTTCCCTTCCTCTGTGCAGTTTTATTTGTCTTGATTTACTCATCTGACTTTACGAGAAGGCACACCGATCTGTTCCTCTCTCCCCTCCAGGCTGACTTGAACCCAAACCTCTTTACTCGGATCTCAATTTATTGTTTAATTTTCACTGGCTAACAAAAGTATGGGCTTTCTTTTTGGAACCACATAGAAATCACTGAAGCAATTTGATGCCAGATAGGTCCGTACATAAGAGAACGAACCCTGCTCGATGGAGTACAGAGGCAGAAACATGGGAAGAGAGGAGTCTAATATCATATTCAAAATAGTAAATTGGACCTTTCCCATATTCCTGAAACGCAGAGGTCAGCATGCACCAGAATCACCCGCCTAGCCCCGCCCACTTGCTCCGTTCCTCTAACAGATGTGTTAGCGCTGGGCTTCCGAGTAGAGTCTGCTCAAGTCAATAAGAAGAGAGAATTAGGGAAAGCTGACACAAATCTCCAGTAACTCAAACTTGTTTTTCCTCTCGAGCAACAGAGATCTGGGTGTGAAGCTTCATTCCTGAGGTAAAAATAAGAGCGATTTCAAGGTAGGTAGATATCTGGATAAAGCAATTTATTTGTCACAGTTCTGCTCCTTGAAGGGGGTAAAACTAGACGAGCAACAACATTTTTAATAGATTTCTTTGATAAATCTGTTTGGTTTCATTTTTGTTTTCAGTTTTGGACATGCTTCAAATTACACTGACACATGGAGTTCATCAGTTCTCTTAGAAGATGATCCAGTTTAATTGTATTAATTCTTTAATGACTATGAATTTGGGTTGAACGTGTAAATACTCTCTGCCTTAGTTTCCCTGACTAAATCAGGCTGATGGAATGTTATCTAAACAATCACTCAGGATTTAATAAGCATTAAAGTAAGCTTTAAAAAGAAAATACATCATTTCTTTAGCCTAAGTAGCCTAACAGTAACTGAATATAAAATACAAAAACTTTACAGGTCATTTCTATTTGAAACTCCCCAAGGTCACAGATAGAAATATGACAGAACCTATTAATTCAGTTTAGGAGATGGGGGAAATGAGGCATGGGAAAACTTAGTTATCTGCTCTCATTTTTCTATTTTACATAGTTTTATAAGATGCAAATACCAAATAATGCACCTTGCATTCAAACACTTAAAACATTAAACTCTGCTGAACTCCAGTTTGAGGGAATAAAGAAAGGGCCAAAATAAGTTTGGAAAACTCTAGTTAAAATATAATTAAACTCTAATGTAGGGGGTCCTAAAAAAAGATATGCTAGATTAAATTGTTTTTTCTCTGTCTTAGCTGGAGAGAAGTTGTCAAAGCTTCACAGATGG